GTCATTCACATAGCTGTTCCCACTATCATCACAAAGAATGGGGAGAACAGTGCTGTTCTGAAGCTTATGCCGCAAATAACCAAATAGTTTTTTAGAATTTTTACTACTTGGTAATCTACGTTCAAAGTTTGATAGAAACTTTATTAAATGAAAGGCTAAATCAGAGCATACTTTTTTTCAGTTTACTGAACAAATTGTGTTTTTGGCCAATAAGAGCAACTATATGTTTAGGATAGCGAATGTCATTGAATCCAAAAATTCTTAGGCGTCCATATCTACTTAAGCCTTCATAAATTTTTGAACAAAAAGCTTGGTAATATTCATTAAGCCCCGAGCAGTTATAATAAATCGTATCCCAGTTGACATTTGCAAAGTACTCATTAAGACCTGCATAGTCGAAATTGGGAAAGTCAGGAATTGGATACGATGCTTTACCACAACAGCTTCCTTCTACTTGAAATCGTACGACATTGTGGTCAGCAGAAGCAATAGGAGGATAGATTGCAAGATCATTGATATTCTGGGTATTTGAGAAGATCAAATCCAAAGTTGCATTACCATGAGTTGGTTTGCAAACAAATTGTTCAAAACCACAATCTTTGAAAAATTTAAATAGCGGCTTGGAACTTTGATCAAGCTTCCAGTCAACGTGGAGGTTGAAGTCTCCCAATGAAACAACAGCTTCGAATCGTATTGATATGAGACTGATCAATAGTTCAGCAAGTTGTTCATCGTCATGCTGTGTACTGCTCGGAGGACGATAAATGTTGATGAACTTAAGTAGGCTGTAGCTGGAGGGGCAAAAGAGTTGAACGGAAAGCAAATCGATATTGGATACCGTAAAATGACTTATCTTTTCAATGCAAATATCATTCTTAACAAGGCAATATACACCTCCCCCGATTCTTTTACACCTATCTGTACGATGGACAGAATAGGGCAAATCATTCACAACTTCAGAATCTCGTATTTTGGAGGTAAGCCATGTCTCAGTTATAAATACCAAATCTGGTTTATGTCGGCAAAGGAAAGAGTGGAGGTGGTCTATCTTATTTACAATACTGCGAGATTTGATTAAAAAACAGTTCAATTTTCTCAAATACCACGCGGATTCAGTGGTTTCCCAAAGACCTTTGGGGGATTTCAGCAACACGCTTGAGTTGCCCCCTAGAGACAACCCATTCACGTGTTGCTTGTCCCCTATTGCGCTCTCTGGCCTGTTGGCGCAGGTCATATTCCATCCTCCGTTCTTCCTCCGTCATACTATGACGTATGAAAATGTTAGGAAAGGAAGAACGGAGGATGTGGGCGCTGGACAACACAGACCTCCAATAAAACTTAGAGGGGAGAACCACTTTAACTAAACGCGGACGAGGTCCTCACTCTTACCAATCCTATATAGCTCACTCACGCTACAGTCCACATTAAGAACATTAAAAATATCATCGACTTTTTTCTTGAGATCAGCAGCTCTTTCACTAGCACTAAGGCCCTCGGGTGGTTCCGATACCCCACTGATTACAACGCTCCTAGACCGCTTCTCACCTTCCACTGCACTGTGGATCTCCTCCTGTAATTTATCGGACAGAAGAGATAACATTCTGCCGATTACAGGATCAGTATTTTTCTCCCTAATGCAATGGAGTAGGGCAGGAGCGGTCATCTGACTGTAATCAATGTCGGCAGACAGATCTCCGCTCTGAACATTCACTGACTCATTTGCAGGAGAGACCAGTGAGGCTTTTTTAGCACGCGTAGATCTGGCTGGCATCTCTCTGCTCTATTCAATTGGAAAAACAATAAATCAATACACTAGAGGAGGAAGGAAACCACCAAACGGGAAAAAATTCAGGAAAAGAACCACTGGAAAAGAGATAAGGTTATGCAGAGCAGCCAAATCTCAAAAACAGAAACAAAGGAAGAAGAGAATAGCAGCAAAAATAGAAAACTAGAATGGATGTACACAGCAAAAGAAAAACCGACCGCACACGAGGAGCGACACGACAAGAATGAAATTCGAAGACTTTCCAACTAGTTGGTACAACTAGTTGGAAAGTTTTCGAATTTCTTCCGAATCACACAGAAATTTCGCGCCAGCCTTATAAAGGATGTCCCTAGAATATGTGAACACTGTTTAATCTCTTGCTTTCAAGTCTTTCGCCGAGCTCAAGGTATTATACTGTAGAGCAAGGTTCAACTTAGATTTACAGCATGAAACAAATTTCCGATCTTTCTTCGTTACTGTAGGATTACGGTATAAACTTTGAGAAGGATTTTAGGGAAGTGAAAGCGATTTTTGCCTCAGAAAATAAACAAATACTTTGTACTGGACTAATCGATGTCCCCGATTCTAAACATGAAGTTTGCACTTCACTGTGGTTTCCGTCATAAGTTATTTTTGGCTTAGGGTAACATCTCTTTAACCAATGTTCGTCAGAATCTGATCACATCATTGAAAGGCTCAAAAACTGGTGAAAGGTTGTGTACTGAAATTAGCACGCTTTAAAACGTCACACAAATTTCTAGATTTTTTGGAGTTTTTTTCAATTAAAGGCCTATTCCAAAGTGACGCAATATTCTGAGAGTTTATACCGTAATTCTACAGTAACGAAGAAAGAGGAAATTCTCTCCATGTTATAATTCTACGTTGTACCGTCGCTCTACAGAATAATACCTTATGTCCGGGGAAAGACGTGAAAGCAAGAGAGTTATTGACATCAAACAGTGCTCACATTATTTTGGGACATTTTGCATTTTAAGGTTGATGCAAAAATAATGGCTATTCTGCGAGTTCTCACTTTGCCGTGCTATAACTCCCTAAATCCCACATTACTGTATGAAGTAAAGATCCCCAGAAGCATCAAGCCTTTTGCAATTTAACGCATATTCACCTGTGCTCAAATCACAAACGGACAGAAAAATATGGAGTAAATAGCAAAAAAGTTTTTTTTTCCAAAACCTTGTCCTTGACAAGTACACAGGCACGCGCCATGCTTGATCCTCTTGATCCACTTGATCCTCTTCATCCACTTCGCTATTGGTCAGTTTGCTAGCGAAGTGGATGAAGCAGATCAAGTGGATCAAGCGGATCAAGTATAGCGCGTGCCATACTTCGCTGCAGCGTTTGTTAGTATAAATGATAGGATGCCCATCTTGTAAGCGAAAGCCAGTAGAACAAAGTAAGATTGAAGGAGTTTGGATAGGATTTGAAAAAGACGAAAAATCAAAGTCCAAAACTACCAGTTTTCTCAACATTTTTCCAGTAGCCCTCGAGGTCCCAAATTATAGATTTTTCTGATTTTCTATACCAAACAATTGTTTGTTTTCGCAAAAACTGTCAACAGAATGCCCTACCCTAACGTATACAGAAATCTTGACGATTGCTTTTTTTCAAAAGAAATTTATGGGTCATAGAATGATTACAAGAGTTACCCCATGTTGAGGCGCCGATATCTCAATTGAGATAATTTCAGAGAAAGTAATTGAGTGTGGACAATGTAGACAATTTTTTTGAGCCGTACAGAAGCTAAGTTTTTGGAGAAGCGCCGTTCATTTACGCTTGAATTCTGGCCAGAAAATTAAGTGCAATGAAATTCTGATTTTGCATGCGATAATATGAAGCTCTGTAACTCTTTAAAAGAGGCTGGAAGCCAAAAGGTTCACCACCATTAGATACAGCATGAAAAGCGCTTCTCAACTATATGCTGTGTCTGTTTCAAAGAAGAAATTTTGATGCAGAAGTTGTCCTGAAAAAAAAGGCTTGGAAAAACGGCCATTATTTTTGCATCAATCCAATAGTACTTTTCTACTAGACAACCTTGAACTGCAAGTTCAACAAGTGAGAAGGAACAATATTTGTCACTCCCTCAATACAGAACGCACCCCGGAACGCGAATGGAACGTTCTCGTCACATGCGATTGGTGATCAAAACAATTCCAAGATGTTGATGTAGACATCCTATCCATGTTTTTCATTTTAGGTCGATAGCTTGTGTTTTTTGCTTGTGTACAGCAACGGTCCAAAATGTTACTTCAATCGACTCGCTTTCTCTTGACCAAGAACCAACGTCCTTGTCCGTACAGTCATCTGCACTAATTCTTATTTTCACTTTGACAACTGAGGAGACTTTTTTTCTTAAGAAGGACGGTTCTCAGACAAATCGTAATAGGCACATTCAGCATACCCTTTGTATATATTGTTGATAATATGATTACTGTATTGAAACGTACACCGAAACTACTTTTCAACTATAATTGGGTTCAAACGATACCGTATATCCCCAACGCTGGCGGTCGAGGGCTCCGTTCAGGGAGGAGGGTGAGGGAGGGGGGGGGGGGAGAGGAAGACAAAAATTTTTCTTCGAACAAAGATGCTGGCGTCCACACATTCCGAAAACCTTTTGGAATGCTAGAGAAGATTTTTGCATGTCCATGACCTCGAAATATTAGAAGTGAGTATGGCGGCTGCAACGCTCCCGAAAATTTTTTGAACAAGGCTAATTTGAATTTTTTATTTTCATTAATTATTGTAGTTATTTATGTGTTCAAACAAGTTACCATATTTATAATCCCTGTAAATAAATTTCATTTTGTGACCTCTCCCCCCCCTCCCCCATCGGACCGCCACTGCCATGTTGAAAAAATTTGTTTACATTATGCGACAATGAAAGAGATTCTTACCTTTTCACCTAAAATTCTCCCTATAATCAATTTTGAGGTGTAAGTAAGGAATAATTGAAGAGCTTTTGTAACCAAGATGATATTTTTTTACCAAATTTGTTTCCTTATTAGTCTCAATGATGCATGATCGTTGGGCTTCCCCGAGACAAATGTTTGTTCTTCTAACGGACTTCAAAGCATCAAACACCAGGTGATCGTGGGAATTTGTTTACGCGTCCAAAATCGCACGGCAACATATCGACACATCTACTTCAATATCTCCTCTATTCTTTGAAGGTAGTCTTTAGGGTTTTGAAATTTGATTTCTCCTCTGTACATCCATGCTAGCAATAATTATTTTATTGGCCCTATTTATTTACTACCTTGTTGATCAATACCGTCAGACTACTCGACTACCACCAGGTGCACTTTTTTACACCTTTTTTTTGCTGCGCTATAAAAAAATGTACTTTAGGACCCTACCCTATCCTGTTTTTTGGAAACATCTTCCAACTTGCAATTTATTCCTGGAAATGCGGAGGCATTGTTCCAGGGTTCAAGCGCATCAAAGAGGTAAACCTCTAGTTTTCTTTGCAAAATTTCTTCTCTAATCTACATTTTATTAGCTTTTATATTAAGATATATGGGCCTGTATTTACACTATGGCTTGGTCCTATTCCTACTGTGCATATAGCTGAATATTCTTTGTGCCATGAAGCTATGGTACGCAATGGGATGAACTTTCAAAATCGCTGGGGTCCAGCAATAATGATGGAGGGAAGAGGTCAGTATCTTCTGAATCGATTTTTGCTTCGATTGTCTGTATTAGTTTTTTTTATACGCCTAACATTCTGAAACTTAAACAAGTTTGCTGACTATCTGTTACAGAAAAGGTCATTTGCATTATGCTGGGATCAAGATGAAAAGACTTCTTGACGATTACCTAGATCTTAGAAAAATTCGCATATATGTGCTAAACAACTTCGTGTAAAGAGCTCTCCACTCGAAGATTGCATCGCTTGTGTCCTTCATTTCTCCATTTTCACCCCTTTTTGCAAACCTTTGCAACTGACGTGAAAAAACATAGCGTGCTAAAAAATCTTCTACAGCACTGGCAGTGCCGCTTTTCAAAGCTGCGTTTTAAACGCATTAAAGTGCCGGAAGTGCCGCAGTGCTATAACTTCTTTCAGGTTACTCCTGTCGATCTCTGGTTAAAATATTTGGAACCAGCGCTGTCTAGTGCATCCGCTAGTATGTTTGAAAATTGAAAAATTCACAATTTTTTTGTGCCCCACGGCGCAATAAACGCGATATTGCGTCGAAAGAGCCGCATTCGAATAACTTTCCACAAAACTATTCTTTTTGATTCCCCTTGTTATATTTGGACTCAGCACTGAATGGTCTATCCGACAGCATGTTCAAAATCTGAAAAAGTCAATTTTTTCATGTTTGCGTCGGAAGTGCCGCATTGTCATAACTGCTTTCATATTTACCCCACAAGAATCTTGTTTACACAGTTGTCATCAGAGTCCCTTGAGCTATCCGTCGATGTGTTTAAAAGTTTGAAAATCTTCATTTTTAGTGACACACACGTTCCAAATCTTTTTGGTCCCTTTTTTTGCACTGATAAGCTGATAACGACCTTCAAAGTAATCGTACGAAATTCTGAACAACATATTTGAAATCAGCTCTTCGCAAGCTATCCAATGATGTGTTTGAAAACCTAAAAATCTCAAATTTTTTGTTTCCGATTTAATTGGTCCCTCATGGTGGTATTATTAGCTAGGCTGGCCCCGGTCCCTGGCTGCCGTGACCTAACAGTATCGATTTTTGTTATCATGATAGGTATGGTAATAAAATACAGTACTAAGACTACACATTGACTTACACACACCAAAAGTAGCATATAGTGAGATTCAAATTTTTGAAATTATGAACTTCAATTTTTGAAAGTCGTTAAAAATCAAAAATCAACCCTAAAATTTGCAAATTTCAGGCAGTAGGAAACGATGATTTCCAACTTCTGCTTCGATCCAGAGATTGTCAATCGTATGATCTCTAATTTGAATTTTCAAACCAGTCATTTCTCCGGGTGTATGACAAGAGGCGCGATTTTTATTGTCAGATGAGCACTAAATAGCGCATATTTGATGTTTTATAACGTTCTAGAAATGTACGAAGCCTCGAAGAAAGTTTAATAGATAGTCGCCCAGGTTGCTTAGTATTATTATTTTGTAATCACTTCACAAGAAAAATTTCGAAGATCAAGAACCCATGAGAGTGCAATTGATAGCAAATTCGTGAATATTTCTTTAGAATTTCCATCAAAAACCGCCAAACTCAGCAAGTGGTAACTTCAGACACCTATTAAGTCAATGCATTTTATCTGGTACTATTTTAAAGACTCATAGCATAGCATTAAACGGGACCTATTGTGGATCACGACAGCAATAATCAAAAAATTATTTTTTCCAAACTAATCGATATCTAGATGACATTCGTCAGATAACTTAACTATAATCCATAACTATAACCATAATTCTAAATTTTTCACTTTCAGTACTCTATAATTTGGCTTTTTATGTTCGAAAAAGACATATTTATAATTAAGGAACCTTTGAAAAATAATTCTGAATGTTCGTTTGCAAGTTACGTGCTATCTGGAATTATAAGAGTTGGATAATCTGTATTTAAGTTATTTTAACCAGCCAAAGTGGCTCAGATGCACTACATCCCGCTGGCACAGCCATATCCAAAGGTGCGAAGTGGTCAACCAACGAACGCCATCCAGATATCGATTGGCTTCGAAAAAACTGCGATTTTCAACAGTTGTAAAAATTGTTGAAATGAGCTGATCTTCGAAATTTTTCTTGTGAAGTGATTACAAAATAATAATACTAAGCAACCTGGGCGACTATCTATTAAACTTTCTTCGAGGATTCGTACATTTCTCACTATATGCTACTTTTGGTGTGTGTAAGTCAATGTGTAGTCTTAGTACTGTATTTTATTACCATACCTATCATGATAACAAAAATCGATACTGTTAGGTCACGGCAGCCAGGGACCGGGGCCAGCCTAGCTAATAATACCACCATGAGGGACCAATTAAATCGGAAACAAAAAATTTGAGATTTTTAGGTTTTCAAACACATCATTGGATAGCTTGCGAAGAGCTGATTTCAAATATGTTGTTCAGAATTTCGTACGATTACTTTGAAGGTCGTTATCAGCTTATCAGTGCAAAAAAAGGGACCAAAAAGATTTGGAACGTGTGTGTCACTAAAAATGAAGATTTTCAAACTTTTAAACACATCGACGGATAGCTCAAGGGACTCTGATGACAACTGTGTAAACAAGATTCTTGTGGGGTAAATATGAAAGCAGTTATGACAATGCGGCACTTCCGACGCAAAAACGCGTTTATTGTGCCCTGCGGCACATGAAAAAATTGACTTTTTCAGATTTTGAACATGCTGTCGGATAGACCATTCAGTGCTGAGTCCAAATATAACAAGGGGAATCAAAAAGAATAGTTTTGTGGAAAGTTATTCGAATGCGGCTCTTTCGACGCAATATCGCGTTTATTGCGCCGTGGGGCACAAAAAAATTGTGAATTTTTCAATTTTCAAACATACTAGCGGATGCACTAGACAGCGCTGGTTCCAAATATTTTAACCAGAGATCGACAGGAGTAACCTGAAAGAAGTTATAGCACTGCGGCACTTCCGGCACTTTAATGCGTTTAAAACGCAGCTTTGAAAAGCGGCACTGCCAGTGCTGTATAACAATCCTTCTCTTGCTACTAAATATTTTAGCCTCAAGCCATATTCAGAAAATCCCAGGTTTTATAAAATATTCAATCTTCTTCTTACTTCTTATACTCAAAAGCTAAAAACCAGCCAAAAACTCAAAAAGACTAATATTTTCATTCATTTCGCGCACTATAATATTGATAACCACACCAATATGAAACCATTGAGTAAATGTGAAGAAATAGACAATCGAAATTCCAACTGGTTCAAAGGCTCACAAGTTGTTATGTGAATCCCATCAAAAATATGTGGGAGTAAACTTTTGCCCTACCCCTCTATCTATTTCAGACATCTCATCTCTATCATGGGATCTTGGAATAACTTTCAGATTTTTGAAGAATAAAAAAGTGTTCTTCTAGTTATCGCGTATACTCATTTTGCCAATTTTTAGGTGATCGTGGTCTGATAGCGTCAAATGGTCATATTTGGCAAGAACAGCGACGATTTTCCTTACATGTGCTGAGAAATCTGGGAGTAAGTAGAAATCTGATGGAGGAACGAATTATGAATGAGATTGACCTAAGGTAAATTGCATCGTTCATAAAAAAACTGCTTTGAAAAAAATAGAAATCATTTCGTTTTTCCAGAGCTGGAAGATATTTTGATAATCATTTTGATTTTTTGGTACCATAAGATTTTGACATTTCAGATTCAATGAAATCGACCGTCTACCTCCCAGTTCGGGTGTGGACCCTTTCCATCTATTTGATCGTCTTGTCGGTGGAATTATCAACCGGTTGCTTTTTTCGATGCCAGTAGATGAAGTAAATGAGTGAACATTTCTATGCACAACCACAATGTTTCATACATTGTGCATTTGCAGAAGGAGGAGCTCAAGTTCTACAGTATCAAAAAGAATATGGACAAATGGATCGAGGAGCTCGCATTCTACCACACTCTTCTCAAAAGCTGGATGTTCAGAATTCCAGTGGTGAATCGATTATGGAGCAGAACTCTCGAACCTGTTCGTACCATGAAAGATTTCATCAAAAATCAAGTAAGAGAAAGGTAAGTTTACTTGGAATTCTTCTGTAGCAGATTCATCTCCTCTTTACCCCCCTCCCTCCGTTTTTGGAAGAAGTAGATGGCAAAAATTTGCATGACTTGTTGATTATGGCGTAGTAGTGAGTAAATCACAACTCAAATCATTACTTCTTTTAAATATCGCTCACTGAGCCGTCACCCCTATAAAACCACTAGCAGATAAATAACTTACCAACACCATCGGATTGTAAACTAGCGTGGCGGTCAGGAATTTTTCAATAAGAGGTGCACAAATTTTCCGGATGATGGGACACTCTCCAAAAATTTTCTGGGATGCTTTTCACATTTTTTCAGACTGATAATTCCGGAATTCTAATAGAATCCAAAAAGAGAAAAAACGAAAAATAAATGACTATCATACCTGTTTACAACTGAAAACGGATTACTTGCACAAATCTATATATCGGGCAACTTTCAGCAGGTGATCCATTCGACCCATTCTTGAAAAGGTCTCCACCTTCCCCCCCCCCCCCCCCCCAAGCAAGCAACGAGACTCTGTTGATTTCCATTGACACTTTTTGGCTGGGAATAACTGCTGTCCTCTCAAAAATTCTCGATGGCGTCGCAATCATCTCGCAAGCATTAATCAACTTTTGGAAGTAAGAGATGTGACGTCACCCGTCTAGGCATTTTTGCATTTTTACAAACCTATTTTTCTCAAACTTACTCTGACTGAATGCTGAAAGTATACCAGCATAATTTCGCTACTTACGCAAAAAATCTTTTAGAATCTTGCGATCCTGGGAGGGAGAGAGGGAGAATGGGGGGGGGGGGGGGTTCGCTACTAGACCACTTCCATTGGAAATTTGTTCTTTGCAGAAAGCGTGCCATAGAAGACGGCGGCCATGTGCTAAGCGCTGAACCCCAGGATTATACTGACGCTTTTTTGAAGAGAATGAGAGAAAACGATGAAGATGGTTATCAAAATACTTCATTTGAGTAAGTCATATTTTACACATTTCCAAATGGATTGTATTATATTTCTTGCAGTGACGAATCACTTGTGGTCAATATTTTGGACTTGTGGATGGCAGGAATGGAAACTACAACTACAACATTATGTTGGGCGATGGTATTCTTGATGAGAAACCCAGAAGTAGGTTCTCTATGATAAGTTGAGGTGAAGATTTTGTAAGAATAGATTAGCCTCCCCCCACTCATTCGGAATTTTTAGAAGTTGTCTAGAGGTGCAACAATGCTTTTTTTTAAAATTTCGAATATTCTGTTAAAAAATATATTCATAAAAAAGCGCTCAATTATTGCCATGCCTGCTTTCCAGTGCTGTAGTTATAACCTCGCCACGATTATAAAAACCAAGAAAGCCTTCATTCTGAGTGCTCAAGTTACTCTTTTTCATTGGAAAAACTCTGTGCCTCTTCGAAAAAAAGAATTAGAACAAGCACAACTATTAGATGTCGTCGTTTATTCATTCTCTTACAAAAGTTAAAGGTCTTCAGCATTTTAGGTTGCGTCTCGAGTACGGGAGGAGTTGCTAGAAGTAACCGATGGAGCTAGGCCCCTTTCCGTCAAGGACCGACCCAAAACACCTTATTTTGTTGCTACGATCACTGTATGTTATAGTCTAACCTAATCTGCATGAATGTTATTTGTGCTTTCTTTTTGAGGAGATTCAACGTTTGGCATCAATCCTGAAACTAAATATCTTTCGACAGGCCGAAGCGGACACTGAAATTGGTGGATACCCGGTACCCAGAGGTACCGTAGTATCAGCTGAACTATGCCTTCTTCTCAACGACGAGAGCAAATTTTCAAATCCAGACAAGGTTATCATCTATCTTTCCCGCCTTTCTCTCTATCCCTTTTTCCTGCTCCTTACGGTAGAGTTTCAGTTCGACCCGTCCAGATTTATTCACGATCCCTCTCTTGCCGCAATGGTTGCTCCATTTGGTTTGGGTAGGAGAGCATGTCTCGGAGAATCATTAGCGCGAGCTGAGCTCTACTTGGTAATACATTCTTTTTTTTATATCCGAATTTGAACGAAATGTGATTACCACAACGAGTATGACAACCAATTATTATCTGAAATTTTTTCATATTCCAGATCATTGGCAATATCCTGCTTCGTTATTCGTTGAACGGTGTCGACGGACCACCGTCAGCAGCGGAAGACAATGACTTTGGAATTTTGAGGAAACCACGAAGCTTTAGAATTTTGTTTGACAAAATTCTTTGAATGGTCCGAATGATCTCGACATTTATATCAATTGTTTTTCTCAGGTACATTAGCATAGAAGTGAATATATTGTACTTAAGCATGTAAATAAACGTTGAAGTTTTTTTCTCGGTACAAGTTCGTGAATGTCATATTTTTGGAAACTCGGGTAAGATACTCATTGTTTGAAAGCTTTCCTTTGTAGTTCACATCTTTTGACATTTTTCACTTTTTCTGTAGAGGTGCGAATGGAAGTACAAACTTTTTAATTGTTAACAACTTCTTCCCACAAAGCCTTTCAAGCTTCAAGTAACGATCGGTAGAGCAGGCTACAACTTCTCTCCATTACTGTAGGATTACGATATGATCCAGCATACAGCGCCATTGTAAATGGGCATTTGGAAAAAAATGCCCAAAAAATATGGAAAGACGTATCTCAATGTTCTCGAACATGCTGATTCCACTAGACAACTTTTTACCTTTTCAGTTTTTGAAGCGTTTCAAATGATTAATCACATTTTTGAAAAACGCTCCTGGCATAACTTAGAAGAGAAAAGTTTTGTCATAATTGTCGATAACTGACTTAGTATTTCATATTCATAATTAACGAAGCATATCGATGAATCTTCAGCTCGTTAGATATCATTCTGAGGCAAAATGTAGCTATTGATGGCCCAAAACCCTCTTCAAAGTTCCTACCGTTATTTTACAGTAATAAAGAGAGATGGGTGTGATTCATATGATACTATAAATCTAATTTGGAGCTTGCTCTACCGATTGGTACTTGAAGGTAAGCAAAAGGCTCCGTAGAAAGAAAATTGTTAATGACTAAAAAGTTTGCACTTACTTTTGGGACACGCTGTATGAAATTCCCGAACTATTGCAAGGAGCGTAATTCTTAGAAGACCGCTTATCTTCCCCCCCCCCCTGAAGTCGTAAAAAAAATTAGTTTCCTTTTGCTTTTCGGAGAGCAATACTTCTAGAAAACTTCTTTTCTCCTATTTTTTCTAATTCGAAAAAAATAGAGAAAAAGAATATATCTAATCCGATAATCTGGAACAACTCAGTAAATTCTTTTTTCCATGATCATTTATGACTTTTTAGCTCTGATTTATTTTAGCGTTCGTAATTCTCAGAACACTACCATTGTGGTTTCAAATTTTTCTGTGCAGATCTCTTCTACGGCTTTTTTTGAGCAAAATTTGCAAATTTTCTTCATTTTCAAGATTCAGACATGACAATTTTTCTGAACTTTACTTCTGTAAAGATCGTTCTTATTCAACAAATGCAAGAAATTGATGGAGGGACCATCCATTTGCATGCCTGGGCTACAAATTTTAGATGAGCTACAACGAGAATCTGCTAATGATTTCAAACAAAATGGCTCTATAGTATCGATGCTGGTTAACTTGACTGCAAATTAATACCTCTGCCGAAGACGGGTATGCGTCAATAACCGTCGTTGTTAACAAATTGCTAGCTGTTTTCGTAGTGATAAGTAGTAGTCGCTAGTCGATTGTTATAGACACAAGTTTTCCACCACTTTTCGCCGTTGGGCCAATCTCTTTGATAAATTAGGTTTTCTTTGATTAAAAGTTGAACTTTCGCGAAGGTGGAAAGCAGGTGAAAACGAACGCAATCATTTCCATTTGTAGATAAGCTAAATACCATTTGCGTTGCCTTGGTTTCTAGATACAAATTAGCACGAGCCTAGCATTCATTGATAGCAAAAACTAAATGAAATAAGATGAATCTAGAATTGCAGATATTTGCAAGGTTTTTCAGCTGCAAGGCTACAAAGCAAGTAGAATTGCATTTTTTGTATAGTATTTTTTCCGCACTACAGGTAATGAGAGATCTAGGAAGAAAGAAGATCATGGCTCATATAGTAGATAGATTTGATTTAGAGCTCATTCTATCAGCCTGAATGAACTCTTTTTATGGATTTTTTTTCTGATTATTTCATCATTCGGCTTGCTTCTTATTTTCGTTCAACAATTCTGTATTGTTTGTATCTGTCTAACAGGCACAAAAAAGTCTTTGGATCTCAATTCTGCACTTAATTCAATTTTCTAAATCCTATCTGTTTTAGAATGAAGAGTTGGAAGAAAGTTTCCTTAAGTCGTCTTTGACTTTCTTTCCCAGGGCTCGGCACGAGCTGGCACCAGGGAAATTTCAAAACGAAGTCCCGTTTGATATTGAAAATTTCGTACAAAGTCCCTTTTGACCTGTTTTGAAAACCCGTCATCATTTTTATATTATGTAAAAAAATGTAGTAGTGTTTTCATGCACTTCTGATTTCATGAAAGAACTTTTCACAGCTTTCTGAGTTTTTTAAGTGGTCGAATCACATCTTGAGAAGCAGAAAAAGCAGATTTTTCGACAGCTGAGCGGACCGAGTGGTTTTCAAATTGCTATAGAACGCTGAAAAGAGAACATTATGAAACTGTTTCTTCTCCGTATGTAATCTTTTACAGTGTAGATACATTTTATGTAAAAAAGTATGAAAACTTATGTGAGCAAAGTGTCGGTGCCAGCTCAGCTGGCACCCAGCTGGCACGGTGCCAGCTAATTCAGAAAAAAGTTGGGCACAGCTTTCATTCACATAAGTTTTCATGAATTTTTGGCCCGTAGTTCCGGTCCACCAACGCGCATGCACACACCAAATTTGGTGTCATACTATTGCGTTTTGGCTGAAAACAACGCCTTTGTTTGTTGATGGACATTGCCAATGGCATGCCGGTGGCATGCCGGCGGCATTTTTGCGGCAGTTCTCCGCCTCGGCCCTGTAAAAACGATATCCCTTTTGCTTTCCGACCTAAAAACGGTATCCAGCTTGAGCCGGTGCCAGCTGTGCTGAGCCCTGTTCTTTCCCGTTAGGCCTATTCCCCTTTTCAAATGTTAATTCTTTGCTTTGCTTACACGTTTGAGTAGATTCACTGAGTGATTTGGTTCAGAATCTGGTAAAATTATTACAAGATAGCATCATCTATTTCGATCTTGGCCTGTAGTATTCGGTGAAGGTGGGCATAAAAAAACTGTTTCTCAAGCAGTTGAATATCCATTATATTGTATCATACCATGCTATTCATTTCTGAATACAGCCTTACTTGTCTGAGAACGGCAGATGTTGAGTTGCATGCGAAAAATTCGCCTTTGATCAGCATAAGTTGTGGAGAAAAATTGTGAGAATTTGCCGTTTTTAGAGTATGGTAGAAAAAGAAATATTTTTTTGAAAAATCTTCAAGCTGAAGCTTCAAGCTTGAAACGAGCTCAGATATCGAAGTGACATACGAAAAAATGTGAAGAACTAAAATACTGCAAAAGTTGAGACTGATTGTGAGTCTCAACCGTTACTTATGTTAGAAGTAGCAGCAAATGAGCCCTTTAGCATTGGTTCTCTATATCTATTTTACTGAAACTTACAAATTACTCCTTTTTGGGCACTATTTTGGGTTCAGTGACATTGAGTGTTTTGTTTCTTTAGAAGTTATTATTTACACGGTGAACTGTAAATCTAAAGTTATTTATTCTTAATGGCTCATTTAGCAGTAAATATCATAGTTGGACATTCAATATAATGTTGTATACTCTAGAATACCGAAAGAAAATCAAGATCTAAATAGCCACATATTTTTGACCTTAAAAAATTTGAATATTCCACATTGTTTTTTGAGTTCAATCATCACAAAAAAACTATGGGAAGACTACCGACCCCATACTGAAAAAATATGGACAGACTATGCTTCGCTTTTTTCGAGGATGTGACTGATTGTGAGGAACTGAGAATTTGATCGCGCCTGGTTTGTCACTTTATCAGGTGCTGAGTAAACAAAGAAAAACAACTATAATAGCTGTTTACGAAAACTGCCGGCCACTTTCACGCATAAGCGAACGCTTATTTGAGTAATGACTTACCATATCAACTTCTAGCGCTTTGTGATTTCTGTTCTGTTTGAGATAAGAATCTCAATTTACTTCTTTTATGTGAATTTCCTGAAGCGGGCCAAATTTTCCTTGAATTTCGCAAGTTTCAATTCTGATCCCAGTTTCAGATTCTACTTATTAATTGAATCGATCAAGATGCTAATAGAAATTGTAATAACTATGGTACTCATCTACTACCTTTCTGATCAATGGCGAAAGACTGCACGATTACCGCCAGGTGCTTTATACTGCCAACACTAAAGGCAGCGTTCGGGCAAATTCTAAGCACTTCTTGTCCAGCCCACCCAGCCGAAACCCACGAAATTGCTATCAAGCCACGTCCACCCTATCAAGCTCCGCCCACCCATGTACTAAAAGTTGTCTGCGCATTCAGGATAGGACTCCTAGAAATTGGGTTTTTGGGAGTTGCACACATTGCATTATTATTTCTAATCAGAGGGCACTGGAAAGCCCCAAAGTGACAGAAACATGGATGGCAAAATTTTGGATGAACGCTGTCTTTAAATAGGCGGCTGGGAAGAATTTCAAAATCTCATCACTTCAGGTCCATACCCTGTGCTCTTTTTTGGTAATCTTCCACAGCTTGCACTCTATGCATGGAAGTATGGGGGCATTGTTGGAGCATTCAAGATCATCAAAAAGGTAAAGATTTCTCTCAACCGAAAATGATGACTACAGCTTATTATTCTTTGATCCTTCTCCCTCCCCCCCCCCCCCGCCCCGCTTCTGCCGTCTTCACTTTTTTCATCTGCATCTAAATTGTTTAGAAGTATGGGCCAGTCTTCACAGTTTGGCTTGGACCAATTCTTACAGTACACATAGCTGATTACACCTTGAGCCAAGAGGCTATGGTCCGATATGGAGCAAAATATCAGGATCGTTGGAGCCCAGCATTGATGCTTGAGGGAAGAGGTTGGTTCTGTTTGAGATAGAAAACCTTATCTATAGAGATGAGCGGAAGATTGATTGTCCTCATTAATTTGGGCCTGAAAAAGCACCCCTATAAAATTTTTGATTCCAGGCGATCGCGGTGTGATCGTTTCAAACGGTCAGATTTGGCAAGAACAACGTCGTTTCTCATTATATGTGCTAAGAAATCTGGGAGTAAGTCGAAATGTGATGGAGGAACGAATTATGGACGAGTTTAATATGAGGTAAATGCTGCATTTAGAATTAAAAAAACTTGAAAAATAAGGTTACAGAGGAACTCTTCAGTCATTTTTGAATTGTTGCCTGATATCGAACTGATTCTGTTCTTGATTTGATAATTTTTTTGAGCCTTGTCGAGTACCTTTTGGTTTACCCAACTTAGTAGAGACTTTGAGGGTGCTCTTATGAGCAGACCAAATGCTCCCCTCTCTGGAAAAGTGCTCTCGTAAGTAGATCAAATGTTCTCTGACCTCCCAACATGGACATTTTATGAAGTGTCAGTATATGCCGTGTGTTACACAACCAAACCAGGTTCTTGGTGGATCTTTATTGGACCTACCGTTTTCGACATTCTCGTATTCTTCAGAAGTCTTGGATCTGGATTGGACGTCACATAACGTCCGCTACTGACTATCTGTGCGGACTTACTAGAATGCGGTGGATCCAAGACCTCTGAAGAAGACGAGACTGTCGAAACCGTAAGGTCCAATAAATATTCACCAAAAACCTATTTTGGCATAACACGACATTTACTGTGCTCTCGTGATTTTTTTGACGCCTTCGAGTGCATAGAGCACTTAATCAAATTTTCAATTTGGTTCTCACAAAACGAAAATATTAGACTTAAACTCACTGGGCCCGTAGTAATCTACCCTACCTGATGGCATCAAAGATGTCTGAATGGGCATATATCGCGAAAAGATGCCAACTTTGTCGCGCAGACTGACAGCAGGCATACCGCCACAAAACTCTTGCATCGCACGCGTTTGAACTTGCATACAACGACTTCCAGCGCAGATGCGCAAAGCAATCGTCCACTCGTGCATTACCTCGTTGCATAAAAATGGTAGAGAAACGGCCGCAGCTTAGTTCGCGAAGTTGCAAGCAGCATCTCCTAACCTTGTGATTTGTCTATAGGGTTATTTGCGAAACCGACTTCGAAATTGGTCTCTTCAAGGTTGCCGTGGCATCTTCATCCAGGAATTTTATAGTAGGGATTTAGACGGGTTGTGGAATCTTAATTTTTGCATATCTCATGTCAAAGTGTCAGCGACTTGCTGGCGAGACCTACCGCCATGTAAGGAAGGGGAAGGGTTACTACTGCCCCTGATATCAATCATTAGCGCGGGGTGTATGCCCTTCTGAACAGCTCCGTCCTAGCGCTAATTACTCTGCCCCGGCGGCGTTAATTGCTTCGCCTTTCTTATAATCTAGTAGAGTTTTCAAATATTTCTGAACATTCCAAAGCAAGTGAGGCACACGAATAATGACAGTGAGGATGTCTGAATTATGAAGACAAAAAGTTGGAAAGGTTGCAATTCGTGATTTCTTCGCCCTTCCCAGTTTTCAAAACACCATGAAGTCTGCACGTGTAAGCTGGAGCATTTACCTAAGCCGCAGGCATAAAGCATTTTCGAGTTTCATGGGAATCGGAATCTTGTTTGATTCTTAGCATGAGAATGCCATTGCAGTCCAATTGAGACGTCTCTAAAAGCGGCATAGCTCTCGCCTACCCAAGCGGCGGCAGCACCGACCAATCAGAGGCGCGCAGTAATTAGGCTGCTAGTGCTAGCGGTTCAGAAGGGCCGTCTCTCATTAGCGCGCAGTCATCTGTCATCATTTGTCTTGTACCACTTACCAAACCCATACTACTTCTTTCAGATTTGAGAAAATTGACCATTTGCCTTCTGGCTCACCTGTGGATCCCTTCCATCTTTTTGATCGTCTAGTGGGTGGAGTTATCAACCGAATACTATTTTCAATGCCCGTAGACGAGGTGAACCAACAAAATCAATATCACAGTTTCATATTGTGCTCATTTTTAGGAGGAGGAAATGAAGTTCTACAGATATAAAAAAGAGATGGACGAATTTGTCGAGGACTTGTCTTTTATCGATTCTTTTGCTAGCAAGTGGATGCTAAAAGTCCCGGTATTGAATACAAGGTGGAAGAGAATGACTCAACCCATTTTGAATATGAAAGAGTTTATCAGGAAACAGGTTGAGGAAAGGTATTTACTACTACGAAGAAAGGCTGAATTCGTCTACGATTATCCCATGGTTGCCATATCATTTGAAAATTTGCAGGAAGCATGCCATAGAAAATGGCAACCACATTATTGATGCTGAGCCCCAGGATTACACCGATGCTTTTATTCAGAAGATAAAAGAAAACGCAAAAGATGGTGTCACAGACACCTCATTCGAGTAAGTCACTTGCGCCGCCAAAGTCTGCAATAATGGAGCCCGAGTAATCTCTCCACCATTTTTTAGGCCTACAAAAGGTCCTTTTGATCGAAATTGGCCTTTTCCAATGAATTTCATGCTTTTGTAAAGATCAACGAACGCTGCCAAATTTGTTTTCGGTATCTGTCAAGTGCCTCAGCGTGCTGAATTATGAGGCTTTGTTGGTTTTGAAAAACTGAAAGCGCAATCGGAGCAAAGTTTTGGGATAGCTCAAATGGTCTAGCGTTGAACCTCAAAGCACTTCATGCGAAGTGTACCCGTCTAGTATACAGTCTGCCCCAATCGTGATCAGGCCGAACCGTCGGCTGAATTTGCGCGCTTGCAGCGCTAGGGGTTTGCGCTTCATACGCGCGCTGTCGCAGAGAGCGAAGAGATTGAGGAGAGAGCAGACTAGCTAGACGCAGAAGTGGCGCGAAACCCTCGCGGTGCGCACTCCCGCCAAGCCAATTTTGGCCTGGTTAGGATTGGGGCAGACTGTACGTATACAGTCTGCCCCAATCCTAACCAGGCCAAAATCGGCATGGCGGGAGTCCGCGCCGCGAGGGTTTCGAGCCACATCTGCGGGTAACTAGTCTGCTCTCTCCTCAATCTCTTCACTCTCTGCGACAGCGCGCGTATGCAGCGCAATCCCCTAGCGCTGCGAGCGCGCAAATTCAGCCGACGGTTCGGCCTGATCACGATTGGGGCAGACTGTACACAACATAGCTGTATCTGGGCACTGGAAACTACGGTTAAATTTACTCAATCTCTGTGTTCTTTTTCGGCTCCAAAAACCCAGCTTCCAGAGGAGCACGGCAGACATTGATTCCAAAATCGGAATCAGCGTTCAATGCTCTTCACAACAGTATAAGTTTTGTTCAGAAAGATCACTTTGACCAAAAAACTCTTCTTGTGTCACTTGAAACATGCGCACCTAATGTACTACGAGAAATATTTTTGAATGGATGGGAAGCTATAGGCATTCATAAAGTAGCGAAACTGATTCGACTGGTTTTGCACGCGTCCAAACTTCATAAGAGCATATAGCACCTATACAAGAAGGTATCACTTTACTGCAATGTTTATCACCACAATTATCTTGTAGCTATCATTTGCACAATATTATTAAACAAAGAAAACAGTTGCCCAAAACCGCGTACGCCACGCGAGCGGGAAAAGCCATTGTCACGATTTTATGTTTGACCTGTACTTTCCAAAGGAAGAGAGCGCTATTTCCATAATCCACTTCATAGATTGCTTAGAGGTAGTGCCAGACACGCCTTGTAAAAATAATCTTATAAGATTGAAAATTTCGCAGTACTTACTTAGATACTTAGTGGCCCATCCTCGCGTGTCGTGCGGGCCCCAGTACAGAAGTTCCCATTGTTCCCTGTCCCTTACTTCGAACATCCACGATCTTCTTGGTGGTCGTCGTGGATGCGTCCACGAGTTCCAAGGGCGATAATCGTATCCAGCTGTCTTCTCACCTGATCCATCCGTTCCACGAACACGTCTGCCCATCTCGTTGGAGGTCTTTCTCGGGGACGTTTCGTCGCGAGGAATCCACTCCGATGTTCTTAGTGTCTATCTGTCGTCTGTTATTCTAACGATGCGGCCCATCGTTTCGCTCCTTCAGAGGCCCGACGGCGGACCAGGCTGCTCTTCTTCTCCTGTTAGGTTCTTCCCTCGAGTCGTTCTCCATGTTCATCGAACGTCCGAGATACACGCAAGAAGACGTCTTCATAATAGGCGTGCCTTCCAATTCCATTTCTGCATCTTGGCAAAGGGCGTTCTTCATGAACTGAGTCTTCTTCTAATTTATTCGCAGTCCGGTCTTTTCCCTACTTTGTTTAGTTCCTTCAGCTCGCCTCTGCTTCAGTGATACTGCTCGAGAAAAGGACGATGTCATCCGCAAAACGAAGGTTGGATAGGAATCTCCCATCAACTCGTGTGCCTCTCTCATCCCAGTCCAGTGGCTTCATCACCCACTGCAAGGCCGCCGTGAACAGCTTCGGCGAAATAGTGTCGCCTTGTCGGACCCCCTTCCCGATCGGAATGGTCAGGGGGCGATCAGCTGCATCTTCGTTGTACAGTCCTTGCAGCAGTCGGCTAGTGTCCTCACATGAGCTGGTTCCACTTCTTGATCGACTAGCGCTGACAGAATGGCGTTGGTTTCGACGCTGTCAAAGGCTTTCTCGTAGTCGACGAAGGTTAGGACGAGAGGCAGTCGGTACTCCCGGCAAACTTCTATGACCATTGAAACCGTCTGGATGTGGTCCATGCAGCTGAATCCTTTGCGAAATCCAGCTTGTTCTTGGGGTTGGGCTTAATCCAGTGTCCTAAATATGCAAACGAGGATAATCTTCGTGAAAAGCTTGTACAGCACACTCAGCAGGCATATTGGACGGTAGTTCCGAAGATCTTCCCGTTCACCCTTCTTGAAAAGAAGGACGGTTCTTGACGTTCTCCACTGGTCGGGAATCCTTTCCTTCTGAAGGTAAGATGTCAGGTGCGTCGCGAGAATCTCGTGTAGACATTGTCCTCCGGCCGCAGAAATTCGGCGGAAAGATGGTCTCGTTTTAGAGCCATGGACGTCTTCATGGTCTAAATCGCCGTGCGCACTTTGGCAGGTAGAATTCGTGGCGGTACTTCTTCAGCGGGAACAACGGGCATCGGCACGGGTGTTGATGAGCAGAAAAGGTTGGTGAAGAAGTTCTTAGCGATCGATTCCATTTTATATCGCGAAGAAGTCGGAGTCCCTCTTCGTTCAATAGTGCAGCCAGCGGTACGTGATATTCACGGAGATCCCTTCAGCTTGCTGCTACCGGTATCTTGGCTTGCCTGTACTTCCTGAGATCCTCCTGCAAAGCTGTTCTGCAACTGGTGTTGGCTATCAGTCGCTCGAGATGGGTTGCATTCGGAATCTGCCTAAGAAATCTTTTTCTTTCAAGCAATTTTTTGGTGGTTTTCGAAATGCATTTCAAGTTCTTCTCAGAATTCACTGAGGCACCCTCTCCACAGGCTCGCAATCCTTTCAGAAGCCGCTCGTAGTCGTACGTTGGGTCCTCCTCGATGGGTCAGTCACAACTTGATACGAGCTCTTCCAGCCTGTTACCGTCATAAACGGCTTCCTTCCTTCTCGCGGCACTGTGACTGCCTTTCTTTTCCAACCTTCGACTGAATCGTATCTTCGCTCGAAGGAGGCGGTGATCGGAGCCACTGCAGAAGGATGGAACTACTGAGACATCGAGCAAGCTCCACCTTCGGTTGGTGAGAATGTGGTCGATCTCCGCGTGAGTCGTTCCGTTGGGCGATTCCCATGTCCACCGGCGATGTTCTTCCTTCATGAAGATGGAATTTCCATGGAAAAGTCATGCGGCAGAGAGAAACCCAACGAGACGGTTGTCGTCTTCGTTCCGGAGCCCATATCCACACTTCCCAATCCTATATTCCTTCTCTAGTGGCATCCCGATTTTTGCATTGAAGTCGCCCACAACATACTTGTAGAAGGACTTTTCGTTGCGCCAACCTCCTCCACGTCTTCGTATAGAGGGTCGTGGAGGAGGTCGTAGTGATATTTCGCAGGTAAAAAAATTACATACAGAGACCTGGGTTGCTTGCTTCCGAAGTGAATTCGATCAGTCTTGGAAAATTCGGAGAAAATTTCTACAAAAAACATTTAGGTGTTGGAAACTGCTGAAGCCTGCGACTTACTACATCAATCAGTACACTAACTTGAAGTGCCGACCATTCGTCCCGGCGCAGTATGACTACAAAGTTACAATGGCATGTCGGAACCGGGCTCGAGTTAATAGGGGCCAGTAAGCCCTGATTTCCAGGACTGTTTCAGGCGCCCTAGGCCGCTCGCACACCACGGTTCACCTTCAAAGGGGTTCAGCATATGTTTTCCCAGTACTGCGAAAGCGCTGCTTAGTCAAAAAAAATTAAGTAAAAGCGAGCCACACTAGCATGACCCTTTTCGCTCTTACTCAATTCGTTTTTCAAGTTGCAAATATGGGGTCCCAATACTATGCAATATGCAAAGCAAAATTTTCAGCGATGAATCACTCGTCGTCAATATCTTGGATCTATGGATAGCCGGACAAGAAACGACGTCGACAACTTTGTGTTGGGCGATGATCTACTTGCTAAGAAATCCGAAGGTGGGTGGTAAAGCTGTTTGGGCACTCTTTTTTAACTTTTCCAAATCGAGTCCGTTTAATAGTAGTTCATAAACAGATTATAAGCTCTATGGGGAAAAACGTGGCCTAAAGACAGTTACTAAGACGCCAGTACTTAGGTCGTAACCGATGCAAGAGAAGAACTGCTCAAAGTCACTGGAGGCTCTAGACCTCTTTCACTAGCTGATAAGCAGAATACACCGTATTTCGTTGCTACACTCACGGTATATTATTCTCAGATCAACATGGTCTTCTTTATTCTTCTACAGGAGATACAACGGATTTCATCGATACTAAACATAAACATCTTCCGATTAGCCGACTCGGACACCGAGATTGGCGGATATCCTGTGCCAAAAAATACAGTGGTATCGGCAGAACTATCACTAATCTTGAGCGATGAGAGCAAGTTTCCAAACCCCGAAAAGGTCAGCAATTATTATCTACCCGTCTTTCAATTTTCCTTTTTTATCCTGTAAGCTTTCAGTTCGATCCATCCAGGTACATCTCTGATCCTTCTTTAGCCACAATGGTGATTGCTTTCGGACTTGGTCGGCGAGTGTGTTTGGGAGAAGCATTAGCCAGGGCTGAACTTTACTTGGTAAAATATACCTATATATTATTCATAATCATCACAACATCTCAATACCTGTAGTTGAAGCGAAAATCTCAAAATAAATAACTGCTTACAGATTCTCGGCAACCTCCTTCTTCGTTATTCTCTCGAATGCATCGGAGGGCAGCCACCATCTGAAGAAGTGAACAAGTTCGGTATCATGAGAAAACCGCAAGAATTCCAGATGATATTCAGAAAGATCACTTGAGTGCTAAAGTACGACTTTGATGTTTTCGATAATGTTGGCGATAAAATAAACAACGAATTTCAACAACCCGGGTGATAGCCCTGTGTGTTTAATGTCTACTGTCCGGCGGCATATGCGTTTAGATTAGAGAGTATGGCTCGGTGGATTTGCACTTTAATTTTTTTTCGTAACATACTTGCGCCTCCGGATTTAAAGTGTCTGCGAATGTGCATGAAGCTTCCGGAAATGAAAAAAATTGCTTTTGTCGTGTTATCTGCCTCGAAGACTGATGAGACAGCTATGCCAAGATTCCCTCCATTCGAAGAGCGGTTTGACTGCCCGAGCCTAGCAAATGCAGCAAATTAGGTGAAGTAACTTCGTCCACTGGAACTTCAGCAGTTAGAGCTCGCAAAATTCTAATGGCGCCCTTCCAATGTTTCTTCGTACAAAAAGCTATTTTCTGACATCTTTGGACATACGCTGAGAAGCTAAACTCATAGAAACAAATGAAAAGAGGTCTGCCAAGTACTGCCTTTTCAGTGACGTAAATTGATTGAGAACGTCACAGTCGGGGCCTTCTTATGATACGGATAGGTGGGGCCGGCCCGGATATAGTGTACAACGTAAGCCTGGCACATGGCTCAATCGGAGTTGCTTCGTTCTGCATACTGGTGCACAGTGTTCTCATTGTTACGCGATTAGATACTCAAAAATCAATCTTTACTTTTCCGACACAATCGTCTTCCTTCGTTATCATTATACGAAGCATAGTTGTAGGCTCGGCTGATACAGATGTTTCCTTCTACAACTCAACAGGCGTCCGAGTACCTTTAAAGAGTTTTTGCCTATCTCAGCTCAGCAACATTACTTTAAAAAAGTAGTTGGCATAGTGAGTTTTTGTGATAGCATTTGCGGTAAAAACTGCATCCTGTTGATCAACAAATAAAACTGGGTTTGTTTTTGTATACGTGACAACGAGAAATGGTTAAATAAGCTTCCATTCTTTCAAATGTAAGCCAACAAATCAATAAAGAAGGGCTTGGCGGATTGCCGCAAAAAGTAGCCTGTGTTTTTCACCGTGGCTTATCTGTAGGTGAACAAATTTCGGCCCGATCCATCCACCCAGAAAGACTTTTTGTAACATAATAACCACATGTGTAGGCGATTCATGGCACGTGGATAGTCGCCATCGCGGACCTTGTCGGCGTCTCTCAGATCAAACGCACATTCGTTTCTCTAACCGCCTGCTGCCTCTTCCTATCACGCACTGTCTTAGTCTGAGGCATTGGTGCCCAGTTTTTGCGTGCGATAAATCGTCTATACTTACTATTAGGTTGGTGCAAAAGTAATGCGCGTTTTGCGAGTTCTCAATTTGACGTGCTATAACTTTCTAAAAAATTCATGTTTTTTAGTGCGGCGAAGTTCACCAGAGGTATCAAACCTCTCCTTATACAGCGCACACTAAATTATGTTAACATTGCAAATTGGTTGAAAATTATGGATTGATAAGCAAAAAAATTTTTTTTCGAAAACCTCGCTTTTAACTGATCATAACTTCCTTTAAGATATGTCGGTATAAATGATAAGTTGACTGTCTTGTAGCCGCAAGCCAATAGTACAAAAAAAGTACAAAAGGGCACAAATAAGGTATTTTGCGAAAAAGAAAAAAATAATATTCAAAATTGTCCGCTTTTTTCGACATTTTTTCGTAGCCCTCAAAATCCCAAAATATGGAGATTTTTGATTTTCTGTGTACTGAACAGCTTCCACGTTTCTGCAAAAACTGTCAACAGTAGGTCCACCCTTACGCTTACAGCAATGAGCAAAACTTTGGCGATTGCTCACTTCAAAGGAAATCTATGGGCCACAGAATGGCCAAAACCATCACTCACGTTGAGGCGCCGAGATTTGAGTCAGTAATTTCTATCAAAACAGTAAAGCATGCTAGAAAAATTTTACTACATACAGTAGCTAAATTTTCAAAAAATTGCCTTTACTCGCGCTTGAATTATGGCCGAAAAAGTAAGTGCAATGAAATTCTGGTTTTGAGTGCGGTTGTATGAAGCTCTATAAATTTTTAGCGAATGAGGCTAGAAGATTCTTTCAACCACCGTTGAATAGAGCATGAAAGAAGCTTCTTGATAATATGCTGGATAAGTTTCATAGGAGAAAATTCGATGGAGAAAAGTCATCTCGAAACAAGGGCTAGAAAAACGCGCATTACTTTTGCACCAACCTAATAATTTTGAGTTTTATATAAGTATGAATTAATGAAAGAAAAGGCGAATAGAGTGTAAGCCTGTCCTGGCTCTAGTATTTACAGTTAGAAAAGTGCTAGCAAGAGATGTTTATCTCCGAATGACTGCGATGATGTACTGCAACAGCACGCGTCAAGCTCCTGTGTTCAAGAGCGCTTTGTTAGCAAGATATCTCACTTTATAACGTGATGGCAATTCAAATATGGTTGAGGTCTTAAAGAAACCACAATCAAATGACAGGATTCCTTACAAAAATTTTAGAGACTCAAAAATAATCCAATCTTCTAACCGAACTCCCAATAAATCTCGACATGATAGGCAATTTGTTGATTGACCCGTTATATTATATTAGGTTGTTGCAAAAATAATGTCCGTTTTGCAAAATTTCACTTTGAAAAGCTATAACTTTGTCCAGTCTTCATATTTTTGAATGCAGTCAAGACCATCAGATGCAGTAAACATTTCGTAATCTAAGGCGCACCTGCATATGCTAATATCGCAAACGGGAAGAAAACCATGCGTTAGAAAACCAAAAGTTTTGCTTTTGAAAACCTCGTTTTTGAAAGATTACAAATTCCTTCAAGTTTTGTTGTTATGGCTGCTAATCAGCTTATTTTGTAGACTCAACCCAGCAGTACACGTTTGTAAAAAAGGACTTTAGCGAAGAAGTTCTGCGAAATAAAAAAGATAGAAATCCGAAATTGTTCACTTTTTTAAGCCTATTTGTGATAGGCTTGGAAGTCCCAAACTATGAAAACTTGGAATTCTTCATGCACTGAATAGCTAAGTTTTTCTGCATGGACTGTAGATAAGATGTCGTGACTTTAAGCCTTCAGAAATGAGCGAAGTTTTAGCGATTGCCCTAATCAGGAAAAATTTCGAATCTATAGAGTTCCAGGCAGCGAGTATCTTTTTTGAAGCTCGATTTGTCAGTTCAGGTATATTCGAAAAACTTATTCAAACATGCAATAAGTAAACAATGTTTATCATATACAGTAGCTATGTTTTCAGAAGAATTTGTTTATTTGCGCCTGATGTGGCCAAGAAAGTTGGAGAAATGAAATATCGATTTTGGCTGCGGCTGTGCAAAATGCTGGTGAAAATCTTACAGATGAGATGAAAGCTTAATTTCACCACCGTTAGAAAGTACATGAAAAAAGCTTTCCAATGATGTGCAGAATCTGTATCGAAAAAGAAACCCTGAAGGAGAAAAGTCGTTTGGAATATATGTTTAGAAAAACGGACATTATTTTTGCAACGACCTAATACATGAGACTAATGGCAAATGACCGATAATTTGAACGCGCTCCGGTAATTCGCCCTCTTTGAAGACCAATACAGGCAAACTTACGGGCGGTTACTCAATCAAACTTCTCCTTGAAGGGAACACAAGCTTTTTGACTTACAGCAGGCTGCCCAAGCTCAACACCCATTGAATGAGCTGGTGAAGATACAGCATTAGTAGAAGCCTAGCAAGGAGCGAAATCAAAGAAAAGCTAAGTTTGTCTACTATTATATGCAAGGGCTAGGCTGCTATATCGAAAAAACGTTTCGTCCTCTACGCGTAAATATGCGCAATTACGTGACCTATTTTCAGGTGTACAAGCATCACCCTGACTACGTGCCATAGGGCGGTTGACTGCGGAGATAGTAGAGAGAGCGACCGCTTGGCGGGCATCCGCGCAGCGGCGCGCCAAAGTCTAAGCGTTTGGAGCAATTTGGGTGCCGTTTGTACACCTGAGAATGGGGTAGATATGTATCGTCGCGCCGTCGACAGCACGGACTGACAATAGATTGCGGAGCACGCGCGGTACTCCGACATGAGAGCACAACTTGTACAATAGCGATTTGCATTGGTACAAGCTTTTGGCTTCGCGGCTCCTGCTCATTTATCAGCTTTCTGTGCAGCGGCTGCAAGTGCGGGATGTGCAAAATATGTGCATGCTTGGATCATTAATAACATTCTTAACAAAGTCTTTCGCCGATTTTCGGGTAACATTCTGTAGAGCTGTTTCAGTTTAGATTTACGGTAGAAGGAGAATAACTAACCGCTCTTCGTTACTGTGAGTTTGCGGTTTGAACTTCTTATGTGCAGAAGCATTTTGAAGTAGACTGTCTGAGAAAATTTCCCAAAAAAATCTTTGTACCAGTGCTTCATGCATGCTGACTCTACTACACAACTTTTCACGAGTTTTTTGAGTCTCTTACTAGGTGTAATCACATTCCTGACGAAAATCGAGAGAACAGTAATCACGGTATGTCTGGAATAACTAACGAAAGAAGCACCACAGCGTAGTGCAAATGTCATATTTGTAATCAGCGACTTTGAGTAACCTAAAACGTGTAAACATGTGCTCGGTGATTCACTTCATAAATCAAATCCACCTTGAAGTCAGCTCTAGGAAAGAACACCTAAAGACTGGCAAACGACATCGAGGAGAGTTGTTAACGGCCAAACGAAGTTCACATTCTCTGAAACACCCTTTGTAGCCTGCATACGATCCTAGAGGCAGCGAAGAGTCAAATTTGGACACGTGTGTTTTCACTAAGCTAAGTATTATAAAAAATTCTATAATATAAGAGATCTGGGCTTGATGGTCATAAACGACCTCATTTTTGACGACTGCTGCAAGGTGATAGCAGATAAAGCCACAAGGTCAGTATACAACTTGCTTAGGGCTTTCGTATCAATGACACTATTTCTTTTTCGAAAGCTTACAAGTCATTTATTAGGCTTATGGTGGAATATGGTTCGTTATAAGTTATCCACGTTCGCGTAAAACGATTAATTATATGGAGAGCAAAACAGCTTCATGCGCGAACTTTTCATTCGAAGAGTTGGCTATCTTTATCTTTATGATATGATCTTGTATCAAATGGTATGGCTAAAATCATTAAAGCTTCAATCTCTTGCCTGTAGAAGGCGTAAGTTTTACCTTCTCATTACACATAAGACTGCATACAGTTATTGCGGCTTGGTTTTTGTGCATTTATCCCCACTAGGATTATCTATTCTGATACAAGAGGGGAAAGTAAAAAACTGACAATCTCCAGATCACACAAAGTTCGCAGATATTTTTTCACTGTCGTGTCATAATGACATGGATAAGCTCATCAGGAAATGCTTATTCCCTGCAAAGACGATTTCGTCTAAGGCCGTTTCACTATCTACAGTGAAACGCTCATAACAGCTCCCATAGTCGCTTGGCAGATAAAAAACAGATATTTGCAACGCTTTAAGACAAGTCCGATGATATACAGTTTGTTCGGAATGTCTGGGTTGAATTCTGACCATTTCCTTGTTAGTTCGATCCGTCCAAAAACTACATCTTAAGGTAAAGGTCTTATGATACCATCATCAACCTCTGCGATATAAAGATAGCCAACTCTTCGAATGAAATAATGTTACTAACTCGGGTTGTTTGCGAGCTATCATAGCTATATGAGCCTGTATTTTCGTTGTGTTCTTCTTTCGTTTTTTTTCTAAATTTTTGTTGTTCCGTTATCATCATGGGGTGAGCCTATGCAATAAATGAAATGAACTAAGGCGCTGTCCAAGCCGCAGCGCAGAAATGCATTCGAAAGATACGCTTGCTTCACACCGTGGCCTCCCACATTGTTGTGGCTCCCCGCGCGAAGAAGTGCTAGTCGATGTAAGCCGTTCTGGATACGGTAGAAAACAAGCTTGGAGACAATTTTCTCGACCTTAAAAAGATTCGTGCTGCCGTTTGAGCAGTGCCTTAGTTGAGGCTCCTAACTGATTTTTAAATGAAAGCTCTGTATATCCAGATTTGACATCGCATAAAAGCGCTGCAAGAGATGATTTCTTCCTTCCTTTCATTGGCTATCTTCCTGTTTTTACGTAACCAGCCGTATTTCCTTCTGTGCAGACGCTCATCTCCTTTGGCGTGATGAATTTCAGAAGTGCAGATTTCCTCTCTGTAGACGTCACCGTGACTGTTTACTTTCCCATTCTGCACAATTACATGATGAGGTGCGTACATGACACTTTCTCTTTCCAGTTCTCAATTTCTTCGCAGCTCGACAGTGCGAAGTTTAGCGTCGACAATGATTGAGAATTTTTTACTTTGACATTTTTCTGTTTTGTCTTGAGGAGTTCTTGTGGGGAGTGGGGGAGGGGGGAGGAGGGCGAAAGAAAAGAAGAAAAGCCTTTAAGTATCTTTATTGAGCTCTTTCTCTTGAATTTTCTACATTGTAGACTATCCAATGGTTTGCGATCTGTGTATTATGTTTCATGAATTATCGCGCAAAATAAGGCGCATTAAAATGTTTATACAGCCAAACTCACATCCCAATCTCAGGCGATTTACAGAAGTTCAAGTCAATGGAAGTACATTTTCCATTATTCTATCAGATCTACTACATTATTGTCCCATCTATCAGCGTCATTGGAAACTCATGTATAGTCTACATCACCATCCGATCTGAGTAAGTGCTCAAAAAATTCTGAATCAAAGTGATGGTCCTTTTTGTTTTGTTTTCAGTGCTCTACGTAGTCCGTGCAATATTTTCATCGCTCTGGTATCTTTAGGTGTAGTTGGCCACATCATGGCTAATATAAATATGTCAATGACATATTTAGTGTGAGTTCCTCAAGAACTTCTTTCGTCTGAAGAATCGCAGATATTTTAGATATCCAAATCATGTGATAACCCGCGAAAGCTGCATTTTATGGCAACTAGTCCCTGTCTTCGGAATGTGCTTCTCCACACTCTTCCATCTCATTGTAGCCATTGACAGGTTGATGTCGCTACAGAAATTCTAGTAAGTATATCTTTTACCCTACTTTTGTGGAATGAGCCGCACGGCTCAACTTTTATTTCGATCACGATTATTGCAGTTACAAGATGATCAACGACCATAAAAAATTGTATATCGGAGTTTTTATATGTTTAGCAGCCATAATATCCTCTATAATAACGATTATTGCGTTTATCCGCAGGCACAGAGACGGGTAACTTATAGGACTTTTCTTGCTTTTGCTGAGTAATTGAAAACAAAACGAAATTGAAAGGAATGATAACATAACATGCGCTCGCAGATCGGATATGTGTCAAACCCGTAAGGCTTCAAGTACACCTCACGTGATCTGCTTAAACGTGACGCTTTCGCGACTTGGCAGTATGCCAGATGCATACGTGAGCGGATACACAGGCGAAACACAGGCGCATAGCTTCCATGATTTATTGCGAACAGATAATGTCCTGCCCAAACAAAATGTGCTGACGACAAGTTATGAACAGTGCCGAATCGCACAGCGACCGGAGTCGCGTGAACTATGCCTTAGATCGGAAAGTACGAGCCCTTTCGCAAAAAGTTTCGCCATCAAGTTTTACTTTATTGAAAAAGTGAAATGCATGTCAAAGGCAACTTGATAGCCATAGCCACCAGATATTTCTAGCATGGTTGTTTGCCTTATCAACGCAGCAATGGATGACGCGACAAAGAAATTGTTGATGAACGGAGTCGTTGCATTCTATGTTACCACAGTGATCTGCTACGCTTTTTTTCTCCGTAAAGTGAGGAAAGTATCAGTAAGTGAGTTTCGCCGATAAACAACCCTTTAGCATCTCTAGTGGATGCTCTAAGTACACTTAAGACATTATTACAAGTGCAGCACTCTGTCCATAGTGCTCGCTGTAAACAGTTTCATTTAGGTGAAGAACATATGCGTGGAATTTATCGCTCACTAATACTAGTTACTGCCGCAATCGCCCTCAGTTTTGTGAGCTTCGGGGTTGTGAATGTAGTGCTTTCTATCTTGCAAATCAATATGGACGAGCTGAATAGGACTTGGCTAACTGGAACGTTCCTAAACTTGTCTACTGCTGCAAACTTCTTCATTTACTACTTCAATAGGTTTACCACTTGATTACTTCCATATGTAACTGTAAGTGTTTCTTCTTACAGCAAACAATATCGCAACCTATTTGACCACTATCTTTTCATCAACACTTTGAAGAAAGCATTGAAGGCAAAGGAGACATCTGCGGTGACGGTAGTTGGGAAGAATGAGCGACCCACCAAGAGTTCACGTTACTGACTGATATGATCCATGCAAAGCTTCGAATGAATTCGTTCTTTTCCAGCTGTTGCCATCCCATGCCACATAAATTGGTACTAAATTGATTAGTCTATCAGCTAAGTTTTTCGTTCTCACTAGATTCCAAATACCGGCACGCTTCTCCTATTTCATTGAGAATGTGTTAAGACTATTTATTATACTGCATGTGTGAAGGCGCGTAAACGACACAAGTTGCCTTTACGCAACAAAGAAATCGAAGAGCTTTCGTGCTTTTTCTTCAGCGACTGAAGATTGTGAAAATGCACGGAACACGTTCGCGAACTTGGCGTAAACCGATGACGTGACCGCCGAAGGCGATATCGCAGAAGTTGATGATGGTATCATAAGACCTTTACCTTAAGATGTAGTTTTTGGACGGATCGAACTAACAAGGAAATGGTCAGAATTCAACCCAGACATTCCGAACAAACTGTATATCATCGGACTTGTCTTAAAGCATTGCAAATATCTGTTTTTTATCTGCCAAGCGACTATGGGAGCTGTTATGAGCATCTAAGTATGAGAAATTTTTCGGACTTTGACGAATGTAATTTCTTGAGACACCTATGTGCGGACTTACAGTGGCTATGGTTATTTTAATTACAAAGAAGAAGCATATTCACCAAAAACCTAAATAAGTGTTTTTGAAACCTATTTCGTGACATGCGCCACAGACCACTTGACAAATCGCACATTTGAACGCTCATAACTCTTCCCATATAATCGAATGGCATACAGTAAACATATATTTTTGATCAGCGTTTCAAGACGAGTCCGACGATATACAGCATGTTTGATATGGCTGGGTTGATTCCAGACCATTCCCTGCTAAGCTTCTAGCCATGCTGCAAGTGCAGCCGTACCTTGTTCTTGTTAACATCATGTAAGTGGCTGGAAAATGTAGCATAATTGAGAAGGAAGGTATCACTGTAAAACAAGAACGAGTTAACTCTTCCTAACTATAGAGACAGGAGTGAACGAAGTTAAGACTTGATTCTCGAACGGGTGTGTGTCAAATGAACGATAGTGATGACTGAGCACTGCACTTCTGCGACTGTTTTACTATGTCGCGCAAATTCGTCCTTTTGGAGCACATACTCTAAGCTAATTGAAGAGCTAATTGAAGAGCCGCTGAGGATTCAAAATCAGTGCACGAGCTTCCTGCGTTTTTCCTCGCTCTCAAGTATCATCATAACATAACAAAGAAGATTAAGATTAGTAAGATTGGATTAGATGAGATTTGAAAGATAAGTTAAGATTTGAGTGAGATTTGCACGAACGCATATGGCCGGTACAAGCTATAGTTCATGCTGGCTTTCTCTTATAAACCAATCTTCTCTAAACCATGGCTTAATGATGATGAGGCACCCTCTTGACTAACTCAGTTGATTTCATAAAACATGATAAAATTGGTTTTTGTAAGCAGCGATCTGGCATTCCAGTTTTGCTCTCGATATAACCACACATTTAACTATTGTCATCTTTCTGGCACTAACAGCAGGTACTTGACCTGAATGCATTGAGTAAAATTTTTGGCAGGACAACTCGCACGCATGGCTGTTGAAGCTCCTATTTGCTGTTCTTTCGCCACACTACTGTGTTTCCATAAAGCAGCGCAGAATTGACAGAAACTGAAGTGCTTCTTCTTCAAAAATTTCGAGCTGATATATTACATTTCTAATCGTGAATAAATCAGATGTACAGATAACGGACAGGAAAAGACAGTCATACCTTCGAAGTCTATGACAGAGCCTGGAAAGTGGAGGTTGTTATATCTGCCCTCATAAAAAGTGGTGAATAAGAAAATCAAATAAGAAAAAGAGATGTAAATAGTAAAAAAAAATATCGAGAACCGGGTAAAAACGATGCATTAAAGGCAGCGTCCAGGCAGATCTGAACCTATGGGAATTTTACGTGGAAAGTACTTTTGGAGCCCTAACTAAGGTACTGCCCAACCGGCAGCGCAGGTAGTCCTCTAACGGCTAAGATATTCCCCTCGAAACTGGACCCCGCGATCGTATTCGCACAGATTCATGGCAGTTTCGCGCAGGACGCACGCTTCGCGCCATGACATGCGAAATTACGATCGCGGGGTCCAATTTCGAGGAGAATATCTCAGCCGTTAGAGCACTGGCTGAGCTGCCGGTTGGGCAGTGGCTTAGTAAAGACCCCAAAATTACTAACTACGTGAGATCCCCATGAGTCCAGACTTGCCTGGACGCTGCCTTTGACTTTCTGAATTTGAAGGTCGGCCCTTATATAGCCTGCAAATAATAAGGTCTACTTATAGAACTGCCGCTTTGTTCTACTCTACCTGCTGCGACACGGATTCGCCCCCAGAGGCACCTCCCACCCACTCAGATAATCGCCGGGGGCAGGCGGTCCGCAAACTCGCGCTTTTCTGCAAGCGGTCGGCAGAATTTTGGGGCGTGGCCAAACCTTCAGCGAGCGGTACTTCCTTTACTGTTCTAATGTTCTGCCAGGGGATAGCAACACAGAATTTTATGCAGGCGCCCGAAACTCGTCAAATAATCTCTTTCAGCAAACGCTGGCCGAACTTTCAACAGGCGCTCGGACTCTTTTTACGCAGTTTCGGGCCTACGTCGAGCACAGGTAAGACTCTGTGTGGCAGAGGTGTCAACCGTTGGTTCAATCACTTAAGTTTGAGGTACTTTCTCTCAGCGGAAAGTACCTGGGGGCTGCGCGGTCCTCCACAAAGGACCGTGCGGTGCATTTTTGCATTTTGCATGAATTTTTGCATATTTTGCAAAAATTTCTTGTGGAAAGTCCGCGAGAATGCGGCCACTGCGCCGCAACTAGTCTATGAGGAAACCGCGATTGTTCTCCAAACATTCGTCCAAAATTTCGCTAATCTTCCAAATATCTGCAAGCGGACGGCAAGAATTCAGCGAACTATTTTTCCGGTTCCCGCCTGCCCATAAATCGCATGGCCGCCTGCCCCCGGCATTATCTGAGCAGTCGATTGCCATGTATTTGTCGTTCTGGCTCACCCTAATTCCATATGAAGTGACAATCCGCGAAGATCGCGAATCCCCGTCCGGAGAGCCTCCGGCTGTTCTGCGGGACGAATGGAGGACTATGTGTCGCCGAATGTGGATGAGTCCCGCGCAGACTTCCTACAGGAACACATGTCCGCGCATATACAACGATGCGTATTTGTCGCAAATGACCGCGGGGACCGCCCTTTTTCGGCGACATAAAGTCTTCTTCCCCTGCGGGACTGTTCTCTGAATTGGATGGTTGGCGAGTACGGTAGGACGGGCGTTACCGGAGGGGCATGCCGCCTTGAGATCCTCGTTGCCAGCGATTTTCTCGCTCTTGAAGCGTCATTCAGCGCCGCGACTTGGGCATTGGCCTGACAGAAGGCCCAACTTATGCTCGAGCCCCTTACTTAGGGCTGACGGTTTGCTCAAAAGCATTGTCCGGGCAAAGCCTTGATTTCTAGCAATTCCGCTTACCTAGAGTTCACCGCAAAGCTGAATTCGAATCGCGTAGCGCGAAAACTGCGAAGGCAGTGGTTATCACACCGTTACAATTTGAACTTGGACGACTAGAATATTCGCCAAGGCCGAGTGCAGAGTCGCTGCGAGACCATACGACATTCAACGACGGCGTGCGTACTCTGCATAGGGCAGAACTACAGGTGGCGAGACTCTTCTCCAAGCGTAAGTTTCCCAATTTCCAGAATTATTCGTTTCTGGTCAAACGTTATGGCCTGCACTTGCGCAGTGTTGGGGGGGGGGGGGGGGGGGGAGGGGTGGCTTGTCCGCATGACACTGAAATCACAAAACTCCGATCGTGCTCGGACACTGCCTTTGAGCCTAATATTCATCAGCTGATTTTTTATATAATTCCTAACTATCAGGTCCGTGCAATAGTAATGCGATTTTCTAGCCCTTATTTCGATACGAATTTTTTCCACCAAACTTTCTTTGTTGAAAAAAAAAACCTAGCGCACCATCATGAAGCTCTTATTATGCTCTATCTCCATGGTCAAAAGGAGCTTCTGACTCTATTTGTTGAAAATTTGTGAAGCTTCAAACAACAGCACTCGAAAACAGAATTTCATTGTATACTTTTCTGATCAGGATTCAAGCGTTGACGTTTTTTTTTTTTTCAAATTCAACTACAATATTGCAATAGAAATTGCCTAATACACTTTACTGTCAAAAATAATCCAGACGAAGATATTAGTGCCGCAACATCGGGTAGTCATTCAGGCCATTCTGTGGCCCATAGATCTTTTGAGGAAAGCAACCACCAGAGCTTTGCTCATTTCTGTAAGCGTAAGGCCCCGGGCACGCTTCACGCGAATTGATCGTCGCGACTGAATTGCGACAAGACAACTATTACAACATCATTCCATGCCGATCAACTTGCATTTCGGTTGTGATACTTTTCCAGCCCGAAATTTTCGAATGTAAAATGAAAATGAATGGAAATCTCGGCGATTAGATCGCGACGATCAAATCGCGTGAAGTCTGTCCGGGGCCTAAGGGTAAAGTTCCTCTTGACAGTTATTCCAGGAGCGTTTATCTTTCCAATATGCAGAAAATTGAAAAGTCCATAATTTGTGATTTTCACTCCTACAAAAATGTTTAAAAAAGCTGACAAATTGGTCTATTCTTTTTTCTTTTCCCAACCCTTCTTCTTTTTATCTTCTTCTGTACAACTGGCTAGCGGCTGCAAGATGGGCTATTCGTCATAGATACTGACAAACTCTGGAGTAGTTTATGGTTTGGAATAAACGAGTTGTTTATCAATCTATTTTTTCTTTGCGATATGAGTGTAGGATAATATGCGCTGCATTGCATAAGTTTTGCTGCTTCTGACGGTCTTGATCACTTTGAAATATCCAGATTTTTTTAGAAAGTTATAGCATGTCAAAGTTAGAACACGCAAAACCCGCATTATTTTGCGCCAATTTGAAATGTCTGTGATTCACTAAACAACCGAACCAGGCAGCAATGTAGTTTCACTCATTAGTTATATTAGTTATATACTATTGAACAGTATTGACCATGGACTTGAGAATGGTATACTTTTAACAAGCTATGGAAATTTTATGCTGCGTTGCGATGCTAGTTATGGTAAAAACGTTTTTTTACATAGATCATGCCCAACAAAAGTTCAAAGATCTTGACAGCTGCAAAACGCGATCTGTTTAGAGATTTCCTCGAAATGAAGAGAACGAGGTTCTGGGAAAAGACTGCATATTTCGATTACAATGATTTAACCAATTTCGAAAGTCTCTTTCAACTTCAGCATACTAATCTGTTTACCTGCCAATGCTTCTCATGTGACGATATGCTCAGTAAAAACGGTGATTACAATTGGATTGTAATTTTAGGATGAGATGGACGTCGCTGTAATGTCTACTTGTTATAAATCAGTGACGTAAACACTGATTGAGAATCTAAAACTCGTGCTCGAAAATGATGTCACTTTCAAATGCTTGGAGGAAATGTAAGATTAGAGGGAGGTCTTCTTGCAATATACATTGCTTTGTATTGGTTGGTGCAAAAATAATGTCTGTTTTGAAAAGTTCCACTTTGAAAAGTTATAACTTCGTTCATTCCTCATATTTTTAATATAGTCAAGACCATCAGAGGCAGGAAGCCTTCCATGACTTAGCGCATACCTGATCATATTGATAGTGCAAACGAGAAGAGAAGCACGCGTCAAGAATCCTCAAGGTTCTCCTTTGAAGGCCTCGGTTTTGAAAGCTTACAACTCCTTTCGAGTTTTGATCCTATAGCTGATAATCAGCTCATTTTGTAGCCGCAACCAAGTAGTATATGAATGTACAGAAAACATCTTAACGAAAGGATCTAAGGAAAGAAAATTCCAAAATTGTCCACCTTTTTGAGCCTGTTTCTGGTAGGCTTGCAAGTCCCAAATTATGAAAATTTGGAGTTGAAAAATTGAAATTTTTATACACTGTATAGCTGAGTCCCTGCAAAAATTGTGGACGAGATTTTCTAATCTCAAGCTTACAGGAATGAGCGAAGCTTTGGCGATTGCCTTAATCATATTTTTGTCCAGTAGCATCCCTGCAACAAGTATTTATCTTGGCGTCGTCAGGTATTCGAAAAATCTACTTAAACACAACAACACAACACAACAACAAACAATATTCATCCTCTACAAAAGCTGTGTCTTCGAAAAAATTCGTCTATTTACGCCTGAATTGTGGCAAAGGAAGTTAGTAACGGAATTTCGATTTTAAGTGCACCTGTGAGAGATGCTGGTGAATTTCTCACGGATGTAATTTCACCAGTTTGGAAAGTACATGAAGAAAGCTTTCAATGATATGCAGAATCAAAACCAAAAAAAGAAATCTGTAAGGAAAAAAGTTGTGCTAAAATAGGTCTAGAAACGGACATTACTCTTGCACCACCTAATAATTCTTCTTGAAAAGCAGTCATAAGCTATTATGGGTACTTCGGGGATTCGCAGACATACCAAAATCCGTTCTTCAAAAAACGGAACTCTGAACTGCATTCCAAGCATGGAATTTCGAGATTTTCTTGAATTGGCTCTCCTGTCGTTGACCCATGTCTTCTGGTTATCATTTGACCTTGACCATTGAGCGCGCAGGCAAATGCCCGTATTAGTTTTGCATTTTCGTAGTGTCCTACTTTTTACATATGTGCATATAATATATTCATCTAACAAATAGATACATTCACCAAGAACCTTTACCTCTCGTACAGGTATTTCCCTTTGTATATGCTTCAGAGATAAAATCACTCACTTAGCAGGAAGCGTAAAAAGTTGTTGACTATGATTTTTTTTTAATTGAGAACGACAACGAAATCACTTGTTTTATATCCAGGAATGAGCCGTTTTTTCGCCTGAGGGCTGGATGAAGGGGTGTTATCGTAGACAAACAAACTTTTCTAAAGTTTTAGAGCCAAAAATACCCTCAAAATCGGAGGATTGCACACTTTCTGGTCAGTTAGGGTCCAAAGATCATTCCTCATTTACCTTGTGCTTTGCATAAGCGCATCATTCCTTCATCATCTCTACACAAGTGAGATCGATAGCTTGTTTACAGAGGACCGAAAAGCACCACCGACGGCAGTAAACAAGGAGCAGTAGTAGGCCGAGGCGGCCAAACAGACGATCAGTTGTTCTCTAAATTGCCACAATTTGTCGAGTCCGAAGAGTATTGCTTCACAACCGTTTTCTTCTCCTCGTGGAACATTTTTTTTTTGAAATTTTTTCATTTGTACCCTCGCCGTTATTGTTTATCTGAAAAAATCCGAGGAGCGAGCATTGTTGTAAGATCTTTTCCACTCAATTTTTTAACACTCTCATTTGCCTTATGACATCGTAATCGCAATCATTTGAAAAAAATTCAAAGACTTGCGCATCATTTTTTCGAAAGTATCTTATTTGCCCTATGACGTCATACTTGTTTAATATTGTTGGAATTATTTCAGCATGGAGCATAAAAGATGCTGTGGCCCAGGCTACGCCACCCCACAAGATGCTATGAAGGGACCAAGAGAAAAGGTGGCCTGTGACCTTTTGGAAAAGTTTTTTTGGCGAATAGAAAATTCTTTAGGTGATGTTCGTCATGTGTCCGCATACCGAACCCAGTCATCACGATATGATGTGCACCATCGATATTGATCCAGATAGTGAAACTTATTGTCAGGTAAACTAAGTATGGAATATCTTGAGTCATTTATCATCGAAGACAATTCTGATTCATTCTGAAATTGCGTTTTGTACTTTTCATTTATCCTGATTCCTTCCTCCACCGCCGCATCTGCGTCATCTACCGAAAACAGCGTAATCTTTTTTCAGCCAAATTACTGCTTTCCAGACACAAGTTGTGCCATTCTAGTAAGAAACCATTCAATATCAACAAGAGACACAATGAAGCTTAGGCCACTTGTAATTAGAATTTTTTTCGCCCACGTAGCACAAAAATCCAAAAATTCCCAATAACATCTGCCGTGGATAACAGTAGTTCTTGAGTTTGAAATTATTCTCAGAATTCTCTCGGACTTGCTACAGCGGCACGTTCTGCACCCCAAAAAAGTTCTGTACCTCCCCCTTCACGATAATAATTTTTTGCATCTCCAGTTTATACTGGGGATAATCGCCAATGGAGCTTACCAGAGTTGCACGAAAAAATTCTTCCTCTCAGAACCTAACCTACTCCTACGATCTATAAGATGCAGCATTTTTACTTCGACTACTTTTTGTTATACTCTGAAAAGAACTTTTGCGCGTTTTTCTCATGTAAACATAAAGTCTACTATTTTCCTCAAACTTTTCCTCTTGATCACTTCGCAAATTTAGGTTCTATCAAGGCTTGATTTCCCGAATTTCGGTGATGAAGTGCATCACTGTGGCTGGAACACTTGTTCATCATGTCATAATGATCCTTCAGCGAAGAGGTTGGCAAAAGCTTCCACGTAAAGATTTTTCGAAGAATGCAAATTTATTCATAAATTGCCGATTCAGGTCGCATTTGGTATTACCGTGCCTGAATAGCGATCGTATCTACGTGGTAAACGTTCAAGATCCACGAAAGCTAGACTTAGAAGTGGTAGGAGAGAGGCTATAGTTGATTCCAGGCCGGAAGCACTCAGTTCTGTAATTGCAGACAATCGAGCCCGCACTTCTTCATGACTATAATGTCTCCATGCCACATACAGCACATTGCACAGCTGCTGGTGACGTCATCATAAGTACGCTTGGTGATGCAAATGGAAATAATAAAGGTAAAAAATGGTTCAAATAAGTCCCTCCCCCCCACTCCTGCCCCCTCCTTCTCTCCCTCCGCCCCTTTGCTCAAAAAAGAAACCATAGGACCCTGTACTCCTTCTATCGACTTTGCTGTCCAGAAAATTGATCAAATTTTTCCCTTCAGGGAATTTTTTCCTGCTTGATGGTACCACCTTTAAACCGAGGGGAACTTACCTGGATGATGAAAATACCGTACCATTCAACTATGATTTCTGGTATCAGCCCAGAATTGACCTACTGGTCAGCACTGGATGGGGCGGACCCAATACGGTCAAGAAAGGATTCCATGCTACGGATGTCATGAAAGGTACAGCGCTGAATTGAACCATCTCGTAATTACCGTAATACTACCATAATACTGCCATTATAGGAGACTACGGCTTTTCTGTGAATTTGTTCAGATGGTCAACACATGAGAAAATACAAAGTATAGAATTGCCAGAGCTTGGTGGATCTATGCCCTTCGAAATAAGGTAATATTTACGAATTTCTGCTCTCTTTTTGATAATTAAGGTAGATTAATAGTATTACTTGAGAAAGTCCTACATAGTAGAAAATTTTCACAACATTTTAGGTTCAAACACGACCCCAACAGTCCCTATGCCTTTTTTGCATCTGTCCTTGGGTCGTGTCTATGGTTACTCAAGCCCGAGTCCGAGGTAATAGTTTGCAAATTTGTGAATATTGCAGCCCGAAACGGATCTTTCTACTCAATTATTATTTTGGAAGTATTAGGCCGTAATATAAGTCTTGCATCAAAATTTTTGAAGGTTCCATAAGTTTTTCCAAATCTAGTGAATCCGGTCCCTTATAATTTAAGCTGAAGAGGGAATCATTCGGTTTCTGTTAGTACTCATTGTCAGGTCAAAAATTGCTGTTTTGACAGCGGCGATAAAAGCTGATAAACACAAATTCTTGAATTTCAATTTTTCGATTTTGGGTGTTAAAAATGCTGGAATGTCTAGCACCTCTGAATTCGATTTTATTTCCAATGCCATAACTTACCTTCTGATGGTGAGATGAATTTGTATTAACCGGGCCTCTAATTTTGGTTCTTTCCAGATAATATTTTTCAAATGCGTAATAAAACACGACATCATTTATATTGTAAACCACAGAAAAAATATTCTATTACTAATTGAGATGGTGGAATAGACATTTTTTAAATGAATTTTATAATTTATCTAGTTTTGGTGCAAGACCTATGTTCCAATCCAAATTAAATGATATTGTTATTTTTATAGGGCTCGCAGCAGTATACCGCTGAATGTGCAGTAAAAGTTCCTTCTATAGAGGTATGTACTTTGTTTTTTTTGCAAACTATAGCTTACAGCATTGAGTCTTTAATAGTCGTCAAATATGATAAATAGTTGATTTATGGAAATGTCTAATTTAGGTAGAGGGATGGCTTCTACCAGAAATGCCCCCAATGGTCGCTGATATCATAATATCGCTGGATGATCATTATCTCTATGCTTCCAACTTCCTTCATGGTGATGTGCGACAGTACGATATTAGCGATCCTGAAGATGTTCGACTTACTGGACAGGTAAATTAAAACTGTTATTGCCTTTTTGGTTGTATCTCTCTGAAAGAAATTTCTTGAGTTAACGGTAATGAAGTGAAAGAACCGGCTCACTCCCGCAAATGTTGACATTGATATGTAGAATCGCCTATGCTGTCGGAACTTTCGTGAAAATACCCTAAACTGTGAAAAATTTTGAATTGTTACTTTCTCGTACTTACTTATTTAGATTTTCGTTGCTGGCTGCCTGCACAAAGAAAGTGGAGTCAAAATCGTCAAAGGAGATGGAATGCAAGCAAGTTCATTCATTAGAATTCTTGTTATCGCATTTTTTTACCGGTAAACATTTGTGAGGTAAATGGTCCGCAGTAAATCCCTATGATCTCAGTTGACCTGATCGTGAGATTAATCATTTAGAAGAACTTCCTAGGATGAACCTAATACTACCCCCCCCCCCATCTTTCCGTGCTTTAGGATAGTCATTTGAACTGTCAGAAGACCGCCCGGCTAAGTGCCGCGGACAACCTGAAGGCAGCGTCCACCCAGAGTTTGACCCCCCCCCCCCATGTTTTCGTCATTCTGGGGCCTTTTCGTGCCCCTGATTACAGTTCTGAACTTCAAACCTCTCCAAAATTCACAAAAAAACCCCGATTTCTGTGAGCCCTGTCTTGAGGGCGCGGACGTTTCGAATTGCTCGTCCCATACCGACGGGGACAAGCGATTTGAAACTCTTCCGCGCCCTCAAGACAGCGTCCCCATGAATCGGGTTTTTTGTGAATTTTGGAGAGTTTGAAGTTCGGAACTGCATGGGTGCAGTTGCATTGCAGTGTGCAGTGTGCAGCTTCTGCTCACTACCATGTCAACACGTGTAGGGAGGCAGTCCCTGGTGGGCGGAGTCTGATATCAGACTCCGTCCAGCCAGGGACTTTCAGGCCCCCTCCATTCAGAGACAACGTTAGAAGACCGGACCAACGCAGATGCCCCTTTTCTGGGGCCTACTTTCAGGATCGACACTAATCGGAGGGGGTTAGGTTTACCCTGGACACTGCTTTTAACAGAATGTCATTTAGCCGAGGGCAGAATTTAGGGTGAACCGAGGGAGATAGTGTGCAACAGAGGAAAATCACTCGAAATTCCCGTAAGTTGCTCGTGAGTAAGTACGACTTATATTGCGGTACACGAACGCGCAAAAGTGCACAATCTCGGAGAAATGTGAGAGATCGATTATTAGCCAGGCAAGAAATTGGGAAAAAAGTCTTTTAGTTTTTCTTGCATATCTTGCTTGATCTCCAAGGAAACAGCCTTGAATGCAACGGATGCAAATCCATCCTTCCTATGTCAAAATGTTGTGAACTTGCTTTATAGATATCCTCGTTTGCTAGGTGATACCTCTGACAGCGGTCATCATCTTTTTCGAACGTGGCCGATATCAAAGACTGCCGGGCATTGCAGTAAAACGCTTGACACTAGCAGGTCTCGAACCATGACCGCACTCTTAGATTCCCAGGGGCTTAGCCGTTTTTCGAATTCTTAGGAACGTATATGGTTGTCATGTCCAAAAGGCGATCCACATTTAGATCGATGGCTTACTGGACGACAGAGTGAGGCTTCCTTCGTTCAACGTAGGCCCGCTCCCAGCCGAGTTGCACTGAACAGAAGCTTTTTACCTACGGGTCTTTGTTTTTGTTGGGATACAAGTTCAAAATACACACCAAAATATACTGACAGCTTTACGGGGGATTTGAGGGTGTTTTTTGTTCGTGAGACAGTTTGGTTGGACCAGACTGGTTTCGTCTTTGGTAGATCTTCTTCGTAATGTTATCAGTCTTTTAATACAAAAACTCGAATATGGAACGTATTTGAATATCTTATATGCATACTAATTGGGGAGCTGAGCTTTAGCTTAACTAAGCGCCGCTTCAATATCTCATTTATGGCCGAAATGCGCGGCTCTTTACTTTCGGTTCGTAATCTTTTCAAGCACACGTTGCCTTCTAGTGATAGTTCTTGGAAGAACGTAGAGTCTGACTTGGAGTTCAGAGTTGAATTCTCGGTCACGAAAGAATCATCTGATCTATTGCATATGCTATGCATGAGCTTGCACGCAATAATGCCTCAACCCGATTTTCATGGCACCTGACGTTTATCGCTTTGTTGTCATACATCTCGGTAGCCAACAGATAATGGGATGTAAGCTCAAGTGTTTTCATCTTTGATCTTCGTCTTGTGGGATCTGCGCTTTGAGTGAATAATCTAGTCTTTTAGATTTGATGCGCAGGGCGTAGGAAATAGTCCTGGTGTAACTTAAAGTATCAAATGACTATCGCAAGTTTTTTAGGGAAGGTGGGGGAGGGAAGAGAAATTTCTGTAAGCGCATTAACGGGATGTCGATGTTTGGCGTCTTGTCCTTGCTTCGTAATTATCATATTCCACACAAGGTAAACTGTATGATAGAAGCTATAGAATCAATTGAATGAAGCACAATAAAATTGAAAAATTCTCGAGCAATTTCAAAAAAAGGCATTTCATAAAGCAGTTATAATGTAATCAGTGTCGAACATTTTCAGGAACAGCCCCCTGCTCGCTACGTCAAGGGTAAGCGCATCGAAGGTGGTCCAAATATGTTGCAGTTGAGTTTGGATGGTAAACGACTTTACGTCACCACATCGTTGTACAGGATATGGGACGAACAATTTCACCCAAGGCAAATGAAGTGAGTTATTGTAGTGCACAATATCTCAAAAAATAAAACAATTCTGTTCTAGGAGTGGAGCTTCAATGCTACAAATAGACATCAATGAGAATGGTGGTATGACGTTGAACGAGAACTTTTTGGTGGATTTCGGAGCTCTTGAAGGTGGACCATACCTTGCTCATGAAATGCGCTACCCAGGCGGAGATTGTACTTCCGACATTTGGCTCTAGATTGAAAGTCCCCTGAGATCGGTTTCTTTGCCGTTAGAGACGCTTTTCAATTATAGCATAGCACAATCTAAGCTCGAAAACTAACAGTAGAATATCTATTCATTTGTTTGTACTTACGATGTTTACTTGAGATTGAAACGCCCTTGTTTCGAAGTTTATCATTGCCAAAATAAAGGTCAACAGATATGAATCGATATTGGGTCACCAACCTAGATACCATGCGGGGTTTTGAAAAAGTGCGAGTGCGGTTCGAGTATTACCTCAGACTTGGGCAATCAAACCTTTACGTTAGCAAATAACAAGCGCAAACGTGCTAAAATCAAACCAGTGACTGTAGACCCCCGCAAAAGTAAGAGAAAAGATTATCTAGAAAAGGATAACACCATAGTGGTCGCACTCGTGTGGAGAACACCTAATGTGCTGTGACTCATACGAGGCTAACAAGGAAATGATACTTGGTGACCCCGGCCATTTGGAATGCGATGTATACCATAAGGTGTACCTCGAAATGATGATTCTAAATCTGTGCTCGAAATCTACGAAACGATCATTTGAAGGCAGTTATGAACTTTTTTGTAAAAAATTTGCGTTAGTTAGTTAAAATCACCCAATTTGATCTATTTTACCATTTGAAGCTATTGAGGAGAAGCATGAGAGGTGTAACGTTGTATTTATACCTATCTAAATCATATCCAGCATTTGAAGAGGAAAGAAAAATTTTACTAACGATTTTCACCCTGCGCAGTAGTTCAATTCATTCTTGAACAAATAATTGTAACTCCATCCATATTTTTGTTTTGCAGATATGGAAAACAGTAGTAGAACCAGCATGAAAAGGCGCATTTTTAAATATACAAATCGGCAAGGAAAAAAAACGGCGGCCGCCTTCAACCGCTAACTTGTGTACAGTCGTCAATAAACATAATCAAGAAAACCTGTGAAAATAAGTAAAGTCATGTTCTCATAACATTTATCTCAACACAAATGTTTCTGTGACCCTGCCTGGTTGATTCTCCGCGTT